GGTCTGAGCTGGTAGTTTTCCACAGCACTTACCCAGTATCAGGACATCAACCTTTTTCCATTAACTCATCCTTTCTGCAGCTCTGTGGTTTCCTGTGCTTGTTCTAGTACAAATTTCTTTCCATCCCCAACTTCTGTTGCGCAGTTTTTACTTCATAAGGCAACAATTTTGTTCCCATTTTGATAATTGTGAGCTGCCGAGGACAGAAAAAAGGTGCTAACCACTAACACCCTACATTTCCAAGAGCCCTACATACTCTTTCTGCTTCCATAGCTGAAACATCTAAAGAACGCCCCACGAGGCATGAGGAAACACTGGCTTAAAATTAACTTTACCAACCTCAAGACTCTTTGGCAGCCTGAGGATGTGCATGTGAGCAGCCTCTGGAAGCACATGGGTGCCTACATTTCATGTTGCGCAGCTCCCTAGCATGGATCCAAGACCTGAAACCTCTTGTGAGAAATATTTATTTGCCTCACTGCTTTGTGCAGATCCTTTGCCAGGCAAACTCCCTGCGGCAGAAGGACTTCCAGACCCCAGTATCACTGGAGGCACATTTTCAGGAGGGAGGCTGGCTGGCACTTACAATGGATGACCTGACACACAAGGAGCGAAATCAGCTCAGCTGTCTGCCGGTTTACCTTCTGCTGCCTTTCTGTGCATGCTTTGGTCATTTTGAGTGGGTGATATTCCACCCAGCAAGGAGTATTTGCGGGATAATCTCATGAAAACTAAGCTCCAATCCTGCAAGAGATTCCTACTTAAGGGCATTTGTGCCCGTGCTAGTTTTGATGGGATTCAGCCAGGCTGTAGGGAGGTGCAGAGGGGTCACCAATTTGAATTACCATCAGGTATGACCCTGACACCTAGCCATCTTCAAAACAAACTGTAAGTGCAGCTTCTATGCTTGATAGGGAGCATACAGTTTTTAAGCTAAGATTTAAGAAAACTTCCAGAGAGAATGCAGCTTGTACAATTTGCTGTCTTAAACAAGTGAATGTATTTGAGACTCCTGATGACAAATTCAGGTACAAGTTCCCACTCCAAAAAAACAAAAAACCAAAAAAACAAAACAACAAAAACAAAAACAACAAAAAAAACCAACCAAACAAACAAACAAAACCCCTGAGGTATCGGTTATTCACAATTCTGTAACATTTCTGGAACAACCACCCAGTTCAGGCTCCTTTGCATTACAATTATCTGGTTTTTTTTGTTTGTTTGTTTGTTTGTTTTTTAATTAATCCTTTTTGGTTTATATTTCTAAATGGAAACAACTTTGAAACTTATGCAAACATCTTTTCCAAGGCTTTTAGTTTGCCCTACAGACTTCTACATGAATCTATCTATCTATCTGTCTATCTATCTATCTATCTATCTATCTATCTGTATGTCTATCTGTCTATCTATCTATCTATCTATCTATCTGTGGTATTGAAGAAAAAACATCAGATCTGGGGAGAAAATTGCTTCATGATCCTCATGGACATGTTGTAACCTTCATTCCTTCCCCCAGGTTCAGAAGGGCAGCGTTACCCAGATTTCTGTGGTTGGTTAAGCTAATGAGAAACCATGGCTTCCTTCCATGGATTAATACAGTTCTGCACGCTACATGATTCTTGCACAACTTTGCTATGGCCTCAGTTGTCCATTCAGTTCACTACACCAAGTCACTGACGTCCAGAAACTGGACAGCAGAACATGTGAGCAGCCTCTCTCAAGAGGAGGAAGAGCATGCAGGATGAAGCTGATGGGGCTGAGACATGGGCTATAAGCACAGCCACCCGACCACCCTTTGAGTCTGTTGCATGGCACAGTCATTCCCCGCGCAGTTCAGTCGCGGGCAGTGTGAAGCAGAGCGGTGTTCCCACCAGCTCCCCGAAGCGAGCTGGCATCTGATGCGGCTGAAATCAGTGCTGGGATCGATTTCTGTAACACCTGCTTTGGTTTAAACTCCCTCAAGAGTGTACGTCGAATCCCTTTAACTCAGACCAAAACTACTAACGGCAGACCAAGCAAAACCGCAAGTTGTGACCCGGATCCGCAGGGCAAACTCCAGCCGGGCAGCGTTTTGCTCTCCCTGAGCCGGGTGCATCCTCCCGCACAGCCTCGCCCGGAGCTTCCTCACACGCGAGTCTGTGGGGCGCGGCTCAGCCCGCACCTCCCCTGGAGGGGTTCAGCGTTCGCTCCTTTAGCCATTTCAGCCCTGCCCGCAGCTGCCTGGGGCAGAATGGGTCTCCCCCCGAGGGCGGCAGCTGCCCCGCAGTCCGGCTCGGCGGCTGGAGGAGGAGCTCAGCCCCGCCTGTACCCCGGTTCCACAGGGCATCGCACCCGGGCATCCTCGGCACCGGACGGGGAGGCGAGGCGGGAAGGGAAGGGGCGGCCGAAAATGACAGCAGGGCCCCGCGGGCGCTGCGGCATCGGGGACGGCGGGGCGGGGCCGCGGCCGGGGCGTGGCGGATTTGGGTTGCAGGGGGTTTAGGGTTTTTTCTAATCCCCCCTCCCGGCGGTGAGGAGGCCGCCTCGCCTCCGCGGTTCTCCCCGCCCCGCTCCGCCCTCGCGGCCGCGCATTGTGCGGCGCTGTGCGGCCCGGCCCGCACCGAGCGGCCACGGGAGCGCGGCCACTGCTCGCAGCGGAACACGGTGAGCGCGGCGGGTCCGGGTCTGAGTCTGGATCTGTCCCTGTTCCTGTCCCTGCCCGGGCGACGGCCCCGGTCCTAGCGGGGGGGAGCGGGGTGTCCCCTCGATGTTGGGGCTCTCAGCGAGGTGGGTCAGCTCAGGGCTTTGTTCGTTCCTTTGGAAGCAGAGCCACGTTTCCCCCTAGCGTGGTGCTCCTGTTAGTTCCAGACCTCGGGCTCGCAGTTCTTGCACGCCGCGGGGCTGTTGGGTTAGCGTTTGTGCAGACGCTCATCTCCTTTCTCTTGCAGTCTGAAATAGCTGTCTCAGGTAACGAGCTGGCTCTAAATGTGATTCCTGTGGGCTGGCTGCTGTGAGCCTTATTCACGCAAGTACGATCTGTATGCATGAGTAAGATTTTTTACAGAATGATTTTGCATGTTTCCATCCTGAAGCTTGTAATAATCTCTGATAGCTTCTGCAGAAGATGGGCTCGTGTGTTTCAGTTTCAGTATGTGTGTGTGTGCGCGTGTGCAGGTGCTGATAATTTTGGCAGTTTATTGCTGATGGTTGATAAAGGTCCGGTGCCTCCTTTCTCTACAAGAATACATTAAGTTGGATGCAATCTAGCATTTAATATTGGAGAGGCAACAAGAGCAGGCAGCCTGAGGAAAAGGATCAAGGAGATGATTTAGCTATTCTACTGCTTCTAATTCCCAGCCAGTGTGCTTTTGAGCATTTCATTTTAAATCGGAGGAAATGATCAGCTTTTTGCAGTTATCAGCGCATTGATTAATTATCAAAATATACATTTAAAACAAAAATGTTAGTGCTTAATTTAAAGTAAATGATTTTCTTTTCTGTTTCACTGTCTCTCACACCTATTAGCTGTACAGAAAGAAGAACAGTAGGTGATGATGAGGCAGCCTTCCTATAGTTTGAATAATAGAAGTAGTACCATTTAGGCTGGCTGTGAAAGAAGGTTGTCTTGGTATGTAGGACATAGGTGGATTTCTGACTGTGGTGCTACCTTGCAAAACTGTCCATTGGTCATAACTTCTCCCTTAGCCAAAGAATAACTCATTTAAAACTTAGTTCTAGGAGTCAAGTGAATTTAACTCCAGTTGTTTTATTCCATGTTAGTCTATTAATGTGTTACTAGATACACGTATCGACGGAGATTTCATACTCGAAACACACACTATTGATGGGGTGACTTAATGCTTCATTTTTCTTATTAATAATCTGACTAGGGGAAGACTGTGGAAAGAATATGGAATTAAGACATGTTCCCAGAGAGTGTGCAGTAAACAGACACTGCAAAGCAGTGTAAGAGGAATTTCCAAAAGAACTCATTTCCCAAGATGGAGCTGGATTTTTAGCACTCCTATGCTCCAGAATAAACTGCCAGATTCCTGATTCTTTCTCTTTATTTCTCAAACTGTTGTATTTAGAGCTCTTCGGAAGACCTTGATGGAAGTGCATTTGTGTCAACCAGTAGTGCAGGTCAAGTTCTGAGCACTTCAGAAAATCAAGCCCTGAGCAGTTAAAAAAAAATCTGCTCCTTCAGTTACAGTCACCCCTCTTCTTCACAGAGTTCTATTATAGAAGCAGTGTCTTTCAGTTTTTATGGCAGGTAGAATTATAGTTGTTAGATGTAGTCACAATAAAGAAAGTCAGCAAAGTTTTGTTTTTTTTTTTGTTTTTTTTTTTTATAATATAAAAACCACCAGGATTAATGAAGAACTCCATAAACACATATGATAAAATGCAAGATCTGTAAGAGAGCTGTAAGTGGCAATTAATCTCTTAAGAAAAACAATAGGTAATGCTAAAAATAGCATTTCCAGCAGGAGAGTTCAATATTGTAGTGGATATTAGCTGAAAGAAGGTATATTGGTTCAGCACTGAAGGCTCTGATAATTTGTGCCAGCTGACATGCAGGCCTACTTTGTCGTCCTTTAAAGCATCATTCTTGCATGTATGTTTGATAATAAACCACAAAAGCAAAGCAAAAATTGTTCTCCAAGGGGAAGATTAGAGCTTTTTTTTTTTTTTTTTTTTTTTTTCTGTAAATAGTGTTATTATAATTTCTGAGGCATATTCTGATCTTGTATAACTCAGTGTAGAATGGCTAAGCTGTGTTCAACTTGTGCCTAAATTGGTCCTGTAAATGGGAAGGAGCATCCGCGCACCAAGAGGAGAATGGTTAGATCTGTTTCTGAACATCTAATGGTGTTTAAAGTTCTTTAGCATTACTGCTAGAAAAATGTCTTCATAGTCAAGTCAATGGAAAATTTGCTTTTCCTGTAGCCATGACCACAGTGTCTGAAGGAACTGTTGAATTATGAGACCTGGTAATTTGCTGCCTACGTCTGTGGTCCAGGACTCTCTTACACTGAACAAAAAGAAGAGAGGAAAATGACCAATGCTTGTCCAGAAGTATGTCCTCCTGGTACCATTTGCTTTCCTCATGGTTTATTGGAACAAGAATGGTGAGTTTGAGGTGTGGAGAAAACAGTGATTAAAGTGATTAATTAGCTCACGCATATGGAAAATACTATGAGGCTTATGGATTATTTGAATTAAGTATTACTATTAGAGACATCGGTTGCCTGTTCTAAAATTGTATGTTTCAATTGAATGTTTCAAGCTGTTGGTGATATTAAAGTGTTGCTTAAACTGTGATTTAGGTCTGTTTCAGCAGAAAGGCCAATGGAAGTCTTTTAGTAGGGAAAAATACAATAGGTAAGGATTTTTCTATTCAAACATTTATTTTAGTGGCTGTGAAATGTGCATATATGGGAGTGAGGAAGAGGGAGCTGAGTTAGAAGCTGGGGTATAAGGTAAAATTCTGATATTCTTTTATGCCACCTTGCAAATACATTTGCATTTAAAATTTTCAGGCAAGCTAAACTGGAGGACGGGTGCAGAATGCTAAACAAAACCTGACAGCTAAATCAGATGCTACATAAGGATCCTAGGCATTCCCATGCTCAGACATTTGAGTTTCAGATTGTTACTCGTAATGATTATTGATCTGAAACAAAGACACATTTGGGGAAAAAATGAAACATCTATTTTAATTTCAAGGATATTTACATTCTGTCACTTTTTTTCCTTTTTTTTTTTTTTTTTTTTTCGCAAGAACTGTGAAACCCAAGCCCCTTCCTGCCTGTCAGCTAGCCACAGTATATGCCGTTGTGTTGGTTAGGCTGAAATTCCGTCTGCCTTAAGAGCAGTTTGGGGCTCAGCATTGGACTGAAAGATATTGTGTATCATCATATACATACTCTTCATGCTGCTTGAGCCAGCAGGCAAAGCTGCAGCTCTTCTTGGAAACCTGGTGTGGATGAGAATAAAATGCATTTACGCTCATTACCAGTGTAACGTAAATGCCAGTATGATGACAATCAGGAATGGAACATGAAAGGCATCAGAAGAGCTTGGTGCATTTTACCTGCAAATGTGTAAAACTTCAGTGCCTGCAGCTGTTGGAAGTGAACCTTCCCTCAGCATTTGGCAGACCAGCAGCAAGGAACGATCTGAGGAGTGGAAAAGGGCAATAAAATGAGCAATGCTAGTGTGTGCAGTGGGTGTGTGAAGGCATACCAAAAGTCACGGGGTTAAAACAGATGGAAGGCTGTGGCAGTAAAGCAGCAATGTAAGGTGGAACATTTGTCTGTGGCATCCTGGTTGTGCATAAAAGAGTAGTGTGGGTGCTCTGGGTGCAGTGAGCTCCTTGGGTTAAGCAGAAAGACTCCTGCGTTTTGAAAGCTTGGGAGGGAAGGGAAAAAACTGCCCAGGTAACTGAATTGGCTGAATTAAGAGGAAATGCTTGGTGTTGATTTCAGGTGCAGATACCCCATAGAGCATCATTTAGCCTTTGCAAGGTTTCCCAGGTGGCCAAGAAGGCCAATGGCATCCTGGCTTGTATCAGAACTAGTGTAGCCACTGTGTCAGTTTTGGGCCCCTCACTACAAGAAAGATGTTGAGGCCTTGGGGTGTGTCCAGAGAAGGGCAACAAAGCTGGTGGTCTGGAGGAGCAGCCAAGGGAACTGGGGTTGTTCAGTCTGGGGAAGAAGAGGTTCAGGGCAGACCTTATTGCTCTCTGTAACTACCTGAAAGGAGGATGTGATGAGGTGGGGTCAGCCTCTTCTCCTGAGTAACTAGTGATAGGACTAGAAGGAATGGCTTCAAGTTGTGTCATGGGAGATTTGGATTGGATGTTAGGAAAAAATTCTTTTCCAAAATAGTGGAGTCACTGTTCCAGGAGGTGTTCCAGGAGCGGTTAGATTTTGTACTAAGGAACGTGGTTTAGTGGGGAATTGTGGGTGGCAGGTAGACTGTTGGACTGGATGATCCTGGAGTTCTTTTCCAACCTTGGTGATTCTATGATTCTAAATAGTCTTCCATGAAAAATCCTGGTAGCGCTGTTGGTTTGGGGATTTTTAGAGCTTGTGGAGAGGCCAGGAAGATGTTCTGCAGGGCTGACAGCTCAGTGGTATGATCTCCCAGTCTGAGCCTTGCCTGGGGATTGGGATGGAGATGTCAGAAATGAGTGTGCAGTTAACAGGCCTGCTGTTCTGCTTAGAACCCACTCCTAGATCACCCGTGCAGCCTGCTGAGAGGGACGGACCGCCCTGCCAGCCTGGGCTAGGCGCTGTGGGGAGAGAGGGGGGCTGGGTGTACTGATAGATCCTGTGCCATCTTTAGCTCACAGGAGCCTGCAGTTCAGGGAATATAGGAATGCGTGTCTTGCTGGCAGCTGAAATGCATGCCATTACTCTGTAAAACAAATGTCGTAGCATATGATGTGCCTTTCTGATCACAGCGCAAGGAAAGATAGGAGGGGGAAAGAGATGGGGGACAGTTTCTGGTGGTGATCACAGCAGGTCACACTAGAAATAGTGCTTTGTTTACATTGATTCTGTTATTTTGTGTTCTTGGATCTGTGTTATATTTTCTTGAGGAAAATCTGTAAAGGAAAAGACTCGGGGCATTTTCTTGCTTTAAAAAAGGATGTTATTGGAATATAGTTACCTCTTTGCTGAGTCCTGTAATAGACACAACATTGTGTGCTTGCTAAAGTGTGAAAAGCAACTTCAAAGGGGCTATTCTAGAATCTTGGGCAACGCACAAACAGATCAGAAGGGCTGAGGGCTGTGATCCGAAACACTGCAGTCAGGGGAGGGAGGGATGGCTGCTTTGGATGAGTGCCTGGGATTTTTCAGTCCAAGATCTTATTTTTGCTTGCTTGAATTTAATCAGTTTATTTGGGTTTAAGGTATTATTTAGAAGATGATTCCAAGAATATGAAAGGATTATGATTTTGAACATAAACCTAATCAGTTTTGTGGTACTTCTGTATAGAAGTGGTTATTCTGTCCCTCTGTTCAGATACGCAGTTGATGTGTTCATGAACAGAGACATCTGAATGGCCAACTAGTATGATAACATACCTCTCTCAGGTGGTTCGGTGTCTTTAACATGTAGTCTTTTCTCCACTGCATTTCTTGTCCATCTTGGAATAGTCTAGGGTTTGTATGAATTAGACGTGCTCTTACTGCAAGAACAAGTGGAGTCACAAATGCTCCAAGATGGTATGTTGCTGCAAGACAGGGAGGAATGTTTCTATTCTAATTCATAGTGGATGCTTTAAAAATTGGAGATCATTTGACTGTCTTCAGCATGAATGGTTTATTGGAGTGCAGGCAAGGTGAAAAAAAAACCAAAAAAACAACAACCAAAAAAGCATTTACAAAACTGGCTTACAGATGACCCTCCTTTAATTAAGTGTAACTTGAGTCCCTGAATTTGCTCATTGGATGACTTGGAATCAGTTCTCTGCTTCTTGCATTGCCCATTTGAAGTGGAAAGAAGAAATTAAACTATGATTTAAAAAAATATATGTATTTTTTGTTTTGGTTTCAAAGGAAGTCAGAAGGCTTAGAAAAATTGAACATTCATCCAGAAAGTGCATTAATCTAGCTTGGATGTGCTTATCCAACCCCTCTATAAGCCAGTACTGCCGTTTTTACTACTGTTTCAATTTTTTTTTGCCATAAAATATCCCTTCAGGGATCTCTCCAGAAAGATTAAAAGGTGACTTCTCTTCCTTTAATTACCTCTTTATACTTTGATTTAAAAAAACACCATCAAACTAGTTGAATGTGGCAACTTTTGTTGGTTCCAGTGAATAAATTCATTTCACATACAATTCTAAGAGAAACATCCAGTGCTGCCTGCGTTATTGTCTACATTAACTTATAATGTGATCTGGTTTTATTTGCTATTAAAATACAGGCATTGCTGATTATGTACAGAGAGCCTTGATTTGCTCTTGATTACTCCACTGGTTGGCAGCAAGGGATTGTGCTTGTGCAGAAATGGGGTGTTACCAGAATTGAACATTTGTCAAAGGCCATTAGGACTTTTTGGTTTGGTTTTTAAGTTACCTCTGAAGTACTCAGCGAAAGCCACTGGCAGTGGGTTAGCAGACTAAGGAGATGTCTGGGTTGGCTTGGTATAACAAAAACTCTAATCCTAAATAAAGCGGTATTCCTGGTGTAAGTTTTCCTTTGGTGTGTCCTATCAGTCAGGCCTATTCAAAATGCCAGGAAAAAGACATTCTTGTGGTAATTCTGGCACCCTTGAAGATAGGAAGTATTGGAACTTTTGAAAGTGAGTCTGTTTTCATAAAACGTCCAAGCCAGTTTTGTGTAAGTGAAACAATTGGAAAATTCAGGGCTTGGCTCAAGCGTGTGAGATTTACTTGTGTGGATCAAATTTGGCATTACAGCATGCTTCAAATTTAATTCTGTAATGTGCAATTCCAGCATCAGTCAGGTTTTGTGTGTGTGTTTTGTTTTTTTTTTTTCATTTTGTTCTGCATTGCTTTTGTTCATTCATCACTATTAAGCAATTTCCTGGGGCCACTCAGGCTTAAGGGTGTGTTTGCATGACTACCAGAATTGTCTGCGGTTATACAGAAAGGACAGAAAGTATTAAAGAGGGCTGTAAGATATTTTTTCCCTGTCTACAGCACTGTATACACTTTGTTACAGTCATCACGGGTTTCTCAACATTTTCCAGAAAATGTCATGTGAAGAATGGTCCCAGTAAGGAAAGAGATGGAAGGTTTATACTAACATAATAATACATAGTAAATTCCTTCTTTTGATGTTTCTGGGGTCAAGTTTTTAACATTGGTAACACACTACTGGCACTGCTGCTTTTTATTCTTTTTGCTGGCAGAATGCTATCCAAAAGAATATCTACTAGCTGATTTAAATTCAATTCCATTTTCTTTCCATAGAGTTTTTAACAGTGTTTAATGAGAGATGCAACTGAATTGCAGAGCTATTATTCTCCCCCTGAATGCACTGGGGTCCACCCTGAAGTCCTGTGAAGGCTTTTTGATCACTCACGTTTTAATCCTGTCCCTCATAATTACTTTTTGGCTTACGAGGAGTCCTGTACATACTAATTCTGG